TTGGAGCAAGCTGACTTGGATGCGTTTAGCCCCGGAGGTGATGAGCCTGCAGAATGCAACAAGACCCAGAACCATCTTGAGGCTGAATCTTGCTATTTTTTTTGTGTAACATTGTTTGATGTTCACCCTTATAGTAAGGAACGGCACTAAACCCTGGAATTGGAATTAGCTTTACGCATATACATCTTTATATGTATATATGTATAGTATAATGATATATATATATATATATATTATTCCTGGAACCTTGCTAATGTCAGTTATCTTTGTTTTGGTAAATGTATGCATGCATGTATTTGTATATGTGATATCAATATGTATGTATTTATATATAGACCACAAATATATATATATATATATATATACACACAAAATCTCTGTGTATCTCTATTTGCCTCAGGAGATGGAGGTGGAATAAAAGTTTGAGGATGGCATGTTGTCGAAGTTGAGCAAAACCAATGACTTGATCGCACGACTTGAACGATTTGAAAGCAATGAGCACTTATCCTCTGATGAGAAAAAAACGTGCCAAGAAGTTCCTTATCTTTTCACTGTCATGGGATTTGGTCATCCCCCAGTATACATTTAATTTATATACTATCCTGTTCCCATTATCCTTGGGGCTGCTCAGGCTGGTCCAGTCCTTGGAATCGAAGCTTGAAGCTACCCAGACGTGCTTTGACACCTCTGTCGGAAGCCGGAGTGAGCTCGAGAACATTAAGCGGACGGATGAGAGATTAAGTGGCATATCTATTTGGCTATAGCGCAGTTGTTCCCAACACTTCCCATGTATGTCTATGTAAAAATAGTGGCTGTAACAGTCACACGCACATGAGGTTGCCCATGGGCTGTTTTGTGCTGTTGATGCATTGAACCTGACTGTTGCTTCAACATATAACTAGCTCTATGTATATGGATCCAATATACATATATTTATACATACATGGAGTAAGTATGTACAGGAATTCCTTGGGGATAAATCTGTCTGGTACGTTTTTACGTTCCGCCCATTTTATTAGCATAGGCACATCAAAGATGTATGCTGCATATGGATAAACACATGGATTTACATGTGTTTATGTAATTACAAACATATGATCCATCTATATGTACCTCTATGTATGTATTGTTATAATCTGTCAAAGTCAGCCATATGTATATGTTATGCACATATCATCAGCTACAGTACCTGCTATCTCTATTTATGTATATATATATTATCATTTAAACATAGTCTGTGAATCAGAAAATAACAAATATATACACATACACAACACCCGCTGTTCGTAAACACTTTTTTCGCAAATACCATGTGGACTGAGGAATGTGAAGCCAGTCAGGACCAACATGGGCGCTGCTATGGTGAAGACACTCTCCTGCATTTCAGTATATATACATGTAAATACATTTAGACCCCCTATATATAGGGATGAAGCCACATCACGAACTTAATGACATTGAAGTGCAATTCTGGTGAGTTCAATCGAAGCCCCCATTGCTTGTTCATACACCATGCAGGATGCTTGCCAACATGTTCCCATGAATTTTCCTCATCTATAATTTGTAACACTTATTCAATCCTATTCATCGTTGTCCGTAAATGGGGTTACTGCCAAGGCCAACTCAAAGCAGTGAGCCCCAACAACTCTCTCCCTTGAACGCAGGGCTTCAGCGCTTGCTTCCGTTGAGGCTCAGGGCAAGTATCTGGCCTGCACAAAGGAGATGCAATTCTTATTGCTGGACCATTTTTCTCTATATATGCTGATTAGGCCATACATGGGTGACCCAGCTCAGGGCTTTGGAGAAGCTGTTGAAGAAGAAGCTCAATGAAATGGGAGAAGCTGAAGCGTAGATCACTCAATTTGACTTTTACTTTAATTTTGATCCTGTGTGGGACATGTGTTAAGCGACGCGTCCCAAATCAATCGCTACATGCTGTTCACTTCAGTTGGCGACCCACCCTTGGGGATGAAGCGGTGGCAAAATGAAAAACAGGTTGCATGCAAGTGCATGTAGGTATTGAGATGATTACATTGTTAAACCCCGTGCCACTGTTAAACAAGTACCAAGGTGTATACAAATCTTGCCTGGTTTTCCAACCCACTCCAGATCAACATATGTCATCAACAACCCCTCGCCTCATCCAAAAAAATCAGCTGCAGCAAGCCATGGCAGGTCCAGAGCCTGAGCTTCGTGGATTTGCCAGAATGGTGGGTGGCGGGGCCAGACCCTTGGATAGGGGTTGGACGGGTTTGGAACTTTTGAATCAATGGGTAACCTTTTGAGAAAACTGGTCAACCTGGTGTCTTGTAAAGACTTGAAATGCATGGGTACAGAGACTAATATATACGCATGTTTTTCATTATTGCATGTGAAATATAATGACCTATTGGTGCATCTTACATAGTGAGAGAGGGACATGTATGAGTTCAAGTTTTGCGCAAATATAATTTCCCTAATTTTCCACCAAGTATACAGCTTTCGCAAAACCACGCGTGCACATGTATGCCCCAACAGTTCTGCAGCAATTACCTGCAATTATCCCTTCAGCCCTCAACCTTTACCCATGGGGGTATGCCGTTGCTGCTGACAACATGGGGTCTTTTGGCCGAGATGAATATGAGAAAGAATTACGTGAACTCTTGACCTACACATGTCCTTTTACACGGACAAAACCGTGCCCACCATCTTTGCTTGGGAATGCAAACATCTCAGTCAAAAAAACTCCTAAGATACATGGGTGCACTTACATGTATATTTTTGTTTTGGTTTCGGTCCAGGTGGCCAAGATGACCGACAAGTTTTTAAAACATGCCGTATATAATTTCATGTTTATATATTTTCCTGGCTCGCCTTTGGGTGTCCCGGGGTTTCTTCTGACAGCGAAAGCCACTGCAACTGCCACAAACGATGTGATGAACTGGTCCACGCACACTCGGGGAAAATTGTGCCTAATCGTGATTTTATTCTCCAGTTTTTCTTGGTGTTGCTAAACCGCATAAATGCACATGTAACAAACAATTGGTTTCAGATATTGATGAAAATCGTAACCGCGTCTTTTGATGAGAAAAGGAACCTCATATATTTGCACTTTTGTTTGCAAACAATTTTCAAAATGCGTGGTTTGTGAATGTTGTTTGATGTTGTTTCTTTTGTTTGCCTTCCCCCTTCCTGACATTCAACTGCAGGTGGATATTGCTTCAAACCCCTTGCAAGAGCTCAATGGCAACCATAGTGATTTGACATTGAGAGAAAAGGAATGGTTATTTCATCAGCATGGCATTGAAGTCGTCTACATGGCAAATCCTTCCAGGCAAAAAGTTACTGCAGGGACCATCCTCCAACGGTGCCTTACTGAGATCACCAAATTTAGAAAACACATGAACAGGGCCGTTTGTGTCTTCAAAGCGGGCTTGACCACTGACCCAGTAGTTCGTTTTGGGTTTTACCGGGATGCTAACTATGAAAGAATGGTTCTGCTCCATGTTACAGAAAACATGGGGGTGGCCCAAGTGCTCGAAGCAGCGCTCATTGCGCCCAATCTCAAGCAGGTTGGTTGCGGCAATGAAAAGTTTGGAGGCGAAGGCCCTCTCTGTAAATCTCTACATGGGAAAACCTTGCATTTTTTTTATGTCTTTGGTGCCCGCGCTGACCAAATGAAACCCATAGGGTGAACCAACAAATATATAGTGCTTCAAATTCGACATGTCCTCAGGCAAATCCTTTTAAAAAGGTATCGGCCTTAATTCAAGCCAAACCTGCTGAAGGAGCTACAGGGAAAAAATGGACAATGAAACATGGGACCCAGGGTCAGGTAGGGAAGATGCATCCATGTATCATTTGGTCAGCGGAACGCCCATGTCAAACCCATGAATATGTATTTACATATGGTTTATATATACGTTACGTTGCGTTCGGCGTTCAGGATATCCAGCCGAAAAGGATTTTTGTATGTAGGTATACATACATATACCGGGTTGAAGTTATATGTTCACGGTGCATATGTGCACATATGTTGATGTGATTTGACGATTTTAGATACATGTGCCATTCCGTTTCGCCCTAAATATGATCACATGCCCTGCCATTGATCATAAAAATGAATAAATAATAAATAAATAAATGATTGAATGAATAAATAAATAAATACATAAATAAATAAATAGATAAATAAATGAATAAATAAATAAGTAAATAAATAAAGATATATTTATATATATATGATTTTACATGTATATTTACAGCTGCACATGCATACACGTATATACCCGTATACACATATAATTGACGATTTCATGTGACATCCTTGCCGGCCTTCCAAGGTCTCCTGCCGCGACATTCGCCAGGCGCGTGTGACGCGCAACCCTTCCAAAGGATTGAAAAAGTTGACAAAGATATCCCTTCGAAAGTCAGAGGTTGGGAGCCACAAGGTTTTTAGAGACCATGGTGCGTCGCTGGATGTCAAAGATTTCAAGGGGTGACCTTGTCAGCAAATCTGGATTCCCGTACGTGAAGTTTGGAGGCTGGCTGAAATACCTCGTTGAATCTGACCTCCTCCAGTACTTGGTTGGAACCAATGACTTGGAAGCCATGAGGAGTGATGAGCCTTTTTTGGTCCCGGTTTCAGAAATCACACCCAGACCACAGCATGTTTGATGCCAACGAACCTGGAGCTCCTCAGAACCATGGTATGACTATTCCAGTAGTCGTCCATGGTGATGAGGGGCGGGGCAGGAAAAAAAACAGTTGATGGTCCTTTCTGTGTGGGAGTTTTCGGAGAAGGCTCTAGCCGGTGCAATTCAAAGGGTGTTGACTCTGAACGGTCGTTGTTCCTCAACATGATTGGCAGGTGCGTGGGAGGACCTCCGACGTCTCATGCATAGGAGTGAAGGGGGACACGCCCTACCTTGCCAAAACAAGGCAATTTTCACAAAATTTTGCCAGGAAACCCACAGCCTCCAGTAGCAAGAAACCCTGTGAAGGGATCTGTCACCAGTGTGATGCTGGAGGAGAAGACCTTCCGCATTCAGTGCCATTTGAACAACTCGGAGTTCAGGAGCCTGTGTGGCTTCAGACAGTGGGGCTGGATGATTGCGCTGAGCCTGGCTCTCCCTTTAGGCAAATACCTTCCGAACGTGATGGAACTCCAGGTTCCTTTGTCCAGCTGTTTCGCTATGATTTGTTTCACAATATTTAGGTGTTGGCAAAGCTTTTGCCAGCTCTGCGGTATGCATGCTTCTAGAGCTCTTTGAGGGGTACAGCATTGGGGACGCCTTTGGGAAGATCACAGAAGACTTTCAAAGCTACTGCTGCAGAGTTAAGGAGTCCATACCACAAAGGGCTGACCAGTTCTTTGTTTGGAGTATCTTCAAGTTTCAAAGATTGCCCAGCTGGTGGTTGGAACAAAGGCGATTACACAAGACTGCTCCTTGAATGGTTTGAAGACTACTGCGACAGGAATGTCATTGGAAAGACTACAGATCCAGTGTACTTGCTGTGTGTTCCTGCATTGCATTTGGTACATCCATAGCTTCTTGCACATACAGGGGTTTTATTTTTTGGGGATGATTTGGAACAAGACATTTTTTGAAATTGTAACTCTTGCCACGCTGGAGGCAGAAGCTACCAGGTGCTTGAATGAGTGCCTCGCTGGCCTCTACCATGAGGGGCTCTTTATGAAACCGGATCGGGCCGTGCACTTGGGACGGAGGGATCTTCAGTTTTTGCTCCATTATGCGAAACTGGCAAGGATTTGCTATGACAGGAGACAACGCCGTTTTCTTCTCATTCCGAAATGCCGTTTCTTACACCACCAAATGCTGGGGCTTTTGAAGGAAGGGCAATTAGGGTCCTGGACCCTGAACATTCTGACGTTTGCAAACCAATTAAGTGAAGACTTTGTGGGCCGACCCTCGAGGTTGGCGCGTCGTGTTGCACCCAGGACCACTTCATCCAGGGTTTTGGAGCGTACATTTCTGTCAATCAGAAATGCATTAAATGCATCTGGGGATGATATGGTGAGCTGAGGAAGGCCGGCAAGGTATGCGCAGATGATAATAATAAAAATATGTGCATGTATATACATGCATGTATACATATACATCAGTATACATACATGTATTTACATGTTCATGTGGTCAAAGTAAGTCATATAGTAAGCAACAACCTTTGTTGACCAAACTTGTCCCCAACAGGAACTCAGGTCACGGCTTTCTCAGGCCGCCAGCGTAGAGGTAAGACATCAGCCAAGTGGCTTCGGAGGGAAAAGGGATGGTTGGGATGGATGGCTAGTCGAAGGGATGGGGATTGGTTGATGCACCCATTTATCACCAAACATGAGATATGTGGAAAACTTAGTTTTTGATCACATGACCTTTTTTTTGGTCAGTTCAAATAACCTCTATTTTTTCAGGTTGTTGGCTCCGAGGGTAAACATAGTTTTTGTGTATCATTGCCATTTGTTGGTGTTTCCCACCTTTGTCCACAGATCCCAGATATTTGGGAACTACTTGCAAGATCGCACTTACGACCTGAGGTGGAAATCGTGGGCCCTCTGCATTTGAGCAGTGATGGCCGTTATTTGGCCGTGGTGTTGAAAGGCGCAGCTGGAGTCCTACTATGCGATGTAGCCGGCCCCTGCCAGCCCTTGGCAAGGCTTGCGGCCGGACAGGCGGAGCCTTGCACTGGAGTGACAGTTTTGCCGGGGCATCGAATTCTGGCATGCTGCTGGGCATTAGTATTACCGTGCTGTAGGGTGTAGGAACGTGGGGCAAAACTTGATATTTGCTCACAGCAATCATCGAGTTGTTGCTATAGTTGCGACATTGTGATGCGATTCTCTCTTGCTCTCAAGATGCGTGCTATAGGAACCAGGCACTAGAACCCGAGCACCTGTGGAGCACGTCATTCGAAGGAACTCAGAGCATTTGAATGATTCAAATGGAAGTGTTTTGCTTCAAAACCAGGACGATGACGTTTAAATAAATTTCATTCCTATGTGCAAACCAAATTTCCGTTTCCAAATTTTACAAAGCGGAAACTAAGGTTGGTCCGATGGAACACTTCTGAGTTGGCAGGCTCCAGAGAAGCAGGTGGAGCGTCGCCGCTCCCAAGATGGTGAAGAATCGGCTCGGCGTTACACCTCTCCTGCGGTGGGAACTGGTACCAGGCCCCGGATCACTGGAAAGGGCGTGGTGGCCATGGCAGCGGTTGGCGCAGTCAGCGGGGCTGGCAGCGGTGTGACAAGGCCCTACAGTGGCAGCCCGCCGAGAGGAAGGCGCAGTGGAAAAGGCATCTCTCGCGGCCAAGTGGCGCCCGGGCTCGGGCCTCAAGGTACTCGGGACGTGCCATACTCTGCAAGGCGGCAGCCATTAAAGACTGCTAGAAGCGATGCAGAGAAGAATCAGAGCCTTGTTCAAATTTCAGTTCTGGTCATCTATTTGGTTATTTTGGTTCGCATGGCAGTGGCATACCAATTAACCTTAAAATTTGGACTAGCGTTCATCGCTCTGAGGATTCGAGAGGTGATCAAGGCACAACTTCCAGAGAACAAGACGAGGATTCTCTTCAATTCCGGCCATGGAACCCATGGCACCCATGGCACCCATGGTACCCATGGTACCCATGGTACCCATGGTACCCATGGTACCCATGCCCAAGCTCCAAGAGGTTTGGGTTCAACACCCACGCCTGATGGGTTGCAGGAACTGAAGAGGCTCTTGGCCTCATCTCCAAGTCCTCCTCGGTGGGCCGAAACGTCTATCGTAGAAGAAACTGCATGTCCCGGACGCGGACCTCGGACCTCTGAGCCTTTGGGGAAATGGGCACGTGGGAGTTTGGTCGGTGCTCAGGTGCGATCAGCCTCTGAGCTTCATCGTGTTGGCCCACGGGACCTCCTTGATGAGGAACCTCCACCAAGATGTGCTTCCGAAGGTGCCCAAATCTCAAGGCGAGGCCACCTGAAACGACGCCTGTTTTGCAGATGCGGCTGCTGTGGGCTGAAACTTCCACTTCCACCGAAGCCTTTGTTCCCACCACCAGGGGCTGACTCGCTCCTGGAGATCAGTGCAGTATCCAGCAGTAGTAGTGCAGTGTTCATGACTTCAGACAGAGGTGAGGAGCGACCTCTCTTTTCTCTTCCAACTCCCTGCAGGAGCACACGGCAAGACAAGAGTCACAGGCAAAAGCCAAAAGTCGACATCCAAGAATTGGTCGACTCAGTGGTGACCCTCAAAACGCGCCTGACTTCGATTCAGGCCTTGCCGCCAGGCGAGGCTCAGGACTTGCTCGCTCCACTCCAGAAGTTTGAAGCTTTGTTACGGTCGCAAATGAAAGACAGCCATGAGATGTAATTTGATGAGTCAGCGATGTGACTGGTTTCACATGCCTCCTGCATGTAGTGATCGTGTGATTTTTTATGCAGCTTAATTCAGGAACCTAGATGCGCTAATCGATTCTACTTGCCGTAGAAACAGCGGCAGTAAGCTTTGCAGGCTCAACATGCACCAGCTCTGGGTTTCTAATTCGAATCGGTACATGCGTTTTTGCCGATTGTTCGCAATGAAAAAGACTGCGAGAGAATGCTTGGAAACCGGACGTGATCAGGTAGGGCACACAGGTTGCAAGAAATGAAGGGATTGAACCGTTTCACACGTCATTTTGGAACTGGCTGGTGCTTTGGTGATTGATCTCTCGCCTAATATCCTTACAGGTGTGGACGGCCTTCAACGGCAGCACCGTTGTCTTTGCTGACGAGGGCCATAATGATTCCAAGCTTTCAGGAAATTGACGGAGGGAAATTACAGTACATCTGGGCAGAACCATCAGAACCAGTCTGACAGGATCTGACAGGCATAGGGTATTAGGCACTGGAACGTGTCGACGTGAAAAAAGCGATGCAACTGGCAGCAGGAGCCTGAACACTGGCGGCACAGCTGGGCTTTGGAGGCCTTGACGGAGCCAGCGCTGTCGCAGCTGCGGGAAGAAGGCACTTCCAAACATGAGAATCATTATGGAATGTTACGGAAAATTCACGTGCCACAAGGCTTTCTGATGTTTTCTGCAATTTTCATAGAGGTCCTTGCTTGTTGTTGCGAGATTTCTTAGACGCCCAAGACTCTAGCATTCTGTTGCAGTTGAACTTGGGCTCCCAGAAAGTAAGAAAGCCTTTCTGTTTCATGGCACATTTAAAGATTTTAAAGGGAAACTTGCAATTAGAAGCGTTAGAAGGGGTTCAAAATGGTTCAAATATTACCTCCACTTAGAGCTGGAAATCTAGCGGACGTGACCTGGACAGTTACACAAATTGGATGGAGCTACGATGAGCTACGTGTCAACTTGGTGAATATTGATGAACCAAAAGTGGAAAGATAATAGCATCCTGTTTGGATGTGAGTGAGCAGATTCAAGTGCATTCCCAGGAAGACAATAGCATCCAGGCATCCAGTTGTATTTGAACATGTTTGCTTGGATTGACTTTTCGACTCTGAATGCAGTTCATAAGGCTTTTGCTGCATCACCGGCGCCTTTGATGCATCTCTAGCTGCAGATTGCCTGGAGGACCAAATCAGTTATATAATTGGTAGATAGGATTCACTCAGCACACTTTGGTCTCCTAGTCAGCAATGTCAATGCCAGGCAAAAGAGAATCCTGGGTCACGAGTGTCCATGTTGCAAGGGATCTTGGAGTGATTTTGGAACCTGCTCAAATCAAACAGGAATGCCGCTCTCTGGATGATTCTTCTGCAACCACAGTGACCAGCAATCGCTGCAATCGTGGGTGACCTGCATGTAACAAGAAAGTGATTTGCGTGTCCTAGATGTTCGGCATATTGAATGCTGTTCCTGAAGACATCATTGATAAAGACTCAGAAAGTGTAAATGCATTCAAGTGCATTAAGTGCCATTGGAGTTTTGATGCCTTTTCAATCCTTTTCAATCCTTTTCATATCTTTCATACCAAGCTTCAGAGGTTGTAATTCGATCAGCCGTTTGACCAAGGTCCCGCTCTGCATGGCTTGACCTGGATGGTTTGGAAGAACTGCAACAGAAGCTGCCAGCTTTGGCAAAGCTTTCCACAATGCTGGCAGGTGCCCATCAGTTTCCTTTCTCGTTTTTTGGCTGTGTTGGGAAAACCGGTCTTCTCGCACAAACTAAAGGCACTGAAAAGCAGCAGCACGGTCTTGTAGAGGGAGTGTAGGGGCATTGGAAGCCCACGTTCCTTTTGTGGCATTGGCATCACTGAAATTGAGCAGTCGAGTCATTTATATGGGTACGGATTCCCCCTTTCATCAGCCATTTGATTCCTGTTTGGTGGAGTTAGAATGGTGCAACTTCAGGTTCTGTCTTTGTGGCAACCTTCAGATTTGTTGTCAGCTTCCAAGGATTTCAGGGTCAAAGATAGCACAGATTTAATAACTCAGTCTTTCATAGCTCTTCTCTGGCCAGGTCTTCCCCTTGAGCTGCAAAATGCGAATGTGTTGAGTGGAGTGCATTTGCAAGTGCACCCTGCTACGATGATGCTCTGCGACAGATAGTGTATGGAGACACATGGAGTCATGCTCGGACAAGTTCAGGATGCTGCTGCGGGTGTATCCGCATACGCACATGCTGCAGCATGGAACCCGTCATGTTTGGATTTGGCTAAGGATTGCGGTCTATCCAGAGCAGGCAGCAGCGTACGCTTTGCACAAGGACCTGACTTTTGACAAGAGGATACAAAAGGGGGTTTCATCCGGAATCAGCAGGCCATTGTCGAACAGCACATCTTCGTTTTCCAGCCTTAGGTCAAACCAGCAGCCAGTGAGTGTAGGATTCCTATGCTCCGGCAGACAATGATCCAGCAACTGGGGCCACAAGACACCTCACAATTCTGGCATATTTCAACGAGCCTTGATCCTTGAAGGTGCAGGTATGTCCAAGGTTTTCCAAGATACAGTGAAGAATGAAGCTCCTGCAGCACTCTTTAGTAAGGTTTTGACTCATCTTGACTCATCTTGACTCATCTTGACTAATCTTGACTCATCTTGACTCATCTTGACTCATCTTGACTCAATGATTGACGAGGGAAATGCTCTGGTCATCTCTGGTCATCTCTGGTCGCTGTACTCACTCTGGATGTGGTGCCGAGGACTGGCGCCCTGGCCATGGTGGAGAGCTCCGGATCCACGAATCAGCTGGGCAACGCCCAGATCCACGGCATTTCCAAGCTCTGGAGCCAAAGGCACGGTGCACAGCTGCAGTGACTTTCAAAAATGTTGAAACATTTTGTGCAAAACATTGAGTCAACTGTGTCAACATTTTTCAACATTCAGCCCTTCAGCAGCTTTTTGTGCAAAGCTTTGCAGGCTGGTACCGTAGTAATTTTTGACAGCCGCAAAGTCTGGCAACTTGGCTATACGGCAGCGGCTAAACCTGGTCCAACATGGTCCAACATGGTCCAACATGGTCCAACATCCAAGAAAAAGTCGAAAAAGTCGACCGCCCATTTGTTTCCTGTGCTTGGGCATTCTGCTGTCAACATCCACGCAGGCATGCTGTGGCACCCTCGCTTCGTGGTGACCGTTGGGCAATGACGCTGTGGGTGCACTAAACAGTTTAGCCTTAGCACTTCGTTGCCATTTCGCGAAGATGTTAGTGGAAGATGTTAGTGGAAAAGAGAGAAAAGGTAGCCAGAAGCACCTCAGCTTGGACGGATTGTTTGGTGGAGGAACCAAACGAATCAAACTGTTTTCCTTTTGGTGTTGCCTACCTAAGCTTCAGTTTGCAAGCAATGCGTTGGAAATATCTTCGTGATAATATGCTGGAACTTTGTCAGGCTTCGTGGTGAGGATCCATCTGATGTCGAGATCTCAAACCGAGTTTCTTCCACCAGCTTCAAATGATGAAACCCGTGTCCTGCCCAGATTTGATCCGATTTGATATTTCTCCTCTGACGCGCTCCCCCTGCAAGCGGGGTCGGCGGATATCAATGGGGCTCTCAAAGTCAAGCTGCTGCAAAGCAGATGCTCTGCTCAAGATTCAAGTCCCGCCAAGAGGCACTCCCCCAACCTTCACTAAACGCCCTTTCCCGCTCAATTAGGCATGGTCTTGGTCAGTAACGAGGCGGTGCTTTCCGTTTGGAGCCGTGGTGCGATGTCCAGTGATTCCCAAAGGGTCCGAACTTCTCAAGCTAGAGCTGCCTCCTTGTATTACATCGTTTGTGCTGAAATCTAAACAACCCATGGTTGTGCAACATTGTGAGAGCCTCCAACAAGTTTTGCAGCGAATGCGGTTGACCTCACATCTTATGACATCTTACGACTACTTTCTGCATTGCAAGACTTACTAGCTTCAATTGAAAGCCGGTTCACGTGATCGTGATACATAGTAAACCACAACATCAGGCGATAGGATTCACAGCCTTTCATGAGGCAGGCAGGTTTCTTCCGCATCGCAAGTATAGAGGAAGGGTAGAAGTTCATAGAAGTTCACTGACAAGGTCAGTGTCACCGCCAGGTCGTATGGATCGCCATCCTCCAGATCTCCGTGAGACTCTGATCATTCTGATCCCCGCAGTTAGATGGGGACTCTGGAAAGGAAGATATACTCGTATATACCTTTGACCATGATTGACCTGTATGACAAGAGTGGCCTGAGAAGAGCGTGTTTCTCTCATCCACTTCTTGGGAGGGCCTCAAGATGAGGATCTCTGATTGTCTCTGATCAAGTCTGATCAATTGACTTCATAATAGTATAATAATTGTTAGTGTATGATAACTTGGAAGACCAAGCCCAGAGGGCCAGGCTCTTTTCCTTAGATTGTGTCCTGACAGTGCTCAAGGCACAGGGCACCAAGGTCACCAAAATCGTCAAAATCACCAAGGTCATGAAGCGCAAAGATATTCACAGTGGCAACCTGCAACGACGATTTTCAGGATTACGCTGTGGTCCGCTGTGCTGGAGCGGCAAGGAGTCATCGAAGTATCCAGACCATGGGTGACTCTTGTTTTTTATTGACATTTATTGACCATGCAGGTTGACGCGGACTTTGCTTCCTATGACATGCCAGCGTACATTGTGGCTGTGGGCAAATGGTCTGCTCAAGCTTTTCTAGCCAGGCATAATTCAAGACTCTTCAGACCAAGCATGTTCAGGTGATGCACCTTCAACTAAAACAAAACATTTCTGGACCCCAAAAAGGAATAGAATAACACGAGGCAGACTTCTTCCCTTCCGCGTAGCCGCGCGGTGTTGTATCCACAAATAGCAATACATTGCGTTGGAGCTTTGCTGCGAGTAGATCTCCCTTCTGATTCAATGGCTGACGACTTCCGAAGCGAGATGGGCTCATCAGTCGGGTCTACAGATCCAAGGTGGGGGACTTTGCTAAACTTTGGAGTCAATTAGGCCTAGCAACCTAGCAATACAGGGTACTGAATGCCGACTTTGTGTGATGGAGAATCCATAGATATCCATAGTGTTTTGCGGTTCAAATTCGAAGATGGACGCTTCCCATGTGAATTGGAACTTAAAGTCCCTTGGCGACCTGGAGGCCCATTTCCAAGAACTCGCTGGCGATCGGCAATCAGGCATGCTCAGCAGGGCGCTGAGCCGACTCCATGAACTTATCCCACTTCACAAATCATCACGACTGAATCGAATCTAAATTCATGGTCCTTCCATGTCTTTCCCAAGATCTGCTTGTTTGAATCTCCCAAACACTGAAAGTAATATTGGTTCCTGTCAGATGCAGTTGTGCTGTGTGTTTGTATGCAAGAAAAAACGAGGAATCAAATATAAAGCGAACATCCGGGGATTTCTACGGTTTATGCGAAAGTTCAGTGTCGGTCCTTTTGGACGATTACAGGCATTAAGAAAAATGCCATGCAATGAATCACCCAGGTTGGGAAGTCTTCCACCTTCCGGGAAGCACTGCATCTGCATTTGGGTGAGCTGCAAAGCAAGCTTGTGGCCGAGTAGGGAAGCTTAGAGGTTGTACCAAAACCTGAAGCAGATTGAAGCGGTCTGATGACGGCTAGTCAGAAATATGCATAGACCTCTTGCTTGACTTGACGCAAGGGCCAGGATGTTGTGTGAAGACGCTTGTCACTCATCATCAGTCAACTGGTGAACGCTGAAAGGCACGAATGCCGACTTAGCCCAGAGCACAGAAGGCACAGTCCTTGTGAGGGAGCACCCTTCACCGGTATAGTTTTTTTTTCTTGATTTTGGAAGCAGTTTTCTGATTTTTTCTTTGGCAGTGCCTTGCATGGACAGTGAAGGAAGTCAGTACAAGTTTGGATCTAAGGGGGCTAATGTCAGTGTGCTTTGGCAGTTCACGACACTTGCCAGTTTGGAACAGCTCGTGGAGTCCCTGAAAGCAGAGAATGAACGCCTCAGGAAGCTTTTGCCACATGAGGCTTGGTCTGTTGGGGCAAACTAAAGGGCAAGCTAAAGGCAAGTTAAAAGATGTTAAAAGGTGCTTTGAGCCAAATTTGTGCTGGTTTGTGGTGAAAAAAAACAAAGAATTTCTGATGGACAAAAGTGGGGTGTCGGCTGTGGGCCATTTTGGCTCAAGATACACAGCTGACCCCACGCAAAAATGAGGTTGGGTACTCGCTTTGGAACGTGTTCAAAAGCATCGCTTTGGAACGCGGTCTCATGCGTCGCTTTGGAACGCGCCTGATCATAATGATTTTCATTCCCATCTAAGGCCATATATCATCATCATCATCATCATCATCATCATCATTGTTAAGAATACACCTGCACATGTACATGAGCCATACAGTTGCTGATGCAACATGTTAGTCTACTCTGAGTACATGTCATGGTACGATACATTTGGGCTCCATACAGGGCCCTTGAGTTAGCCTTGAGCTAGCGTTACTCAGAGCGCTACAGTGAAAAGTACAGCGCGTGGGCTACAGCTGCTGAGAGTACAGACAGGGAAGTTGCGCACTTGATTTCAACATGGTAGCGGAGCAGTGATCCCTGGACGATACAGGACAGGGTGAGCTCCAATACACATCGGCAACAAAGCTACAGCATTAAGGTGAGAACATACAACAACAAACATGGCAGCAGCTACAACTGGAGGAGGCCTCAATGCGATGCACAGATACAAACTACCACCACCACACTTTACAGGAGAGTACGCAACATTCGAAGCATGGAAACGCAAGTTTGTGGCCTACTTGGGGCTACAGAATTCACAATTCCCCAGGCTCCTACAGATAGCAGAAACATTTGATCAACCAGTTACAGATGATCTTCTACAGTTCTTCTACAGAAGAAGCAGACCTTTGGATACAACTCAGCAAACACCTACACTACCTACTCATCAACGTCTGCCAAGGACAAGCAGCTGTCCTTTGCAGACAGCATACACTACAAGCAGTTGGTCTCGAGACATGGAGACAACTACACAGACGCTTTTCAATTCCCACTTGGTACACGCAGTGTCGGGTACCTTACAATGCTTTTGAAACCACAGTTCAACGAAAACAAATTTGAGGAGTCTTTTACAACATGGGAATTTGAAATAGCAAGATACGAAAGAGACAACCAAGCACCAATACCTGACAACATCAAAATTGCAATACTACTCAATGAGACCAAAGGACCACTACAACAATACCTACAACTACGAGCAGGAGCCATACAACGATATGCAGACATTCGAGATTCGAGAACTCATTCTCGAATACCACAGAGCATCAACAGCGTTCTCCAAGATACAAGCACAACAGCAGGCAATGAACAGCAGCACAAATGATGCACAGCCCATGGACATTGGAGCTACGTACAAAGGAAAAGGAAAGTACAACAATAAGGGTAAAGGAAAGTACAACCAAGGAAGAGGAAAGACACAATGGCACAACAAAGGAAAAGGATACACAGGATACAGCCAACAAGGATACAAAGGCAAAGGTCCAACACCGAGTGGACATGGCAACCCCTTCAAGGGAGCAATGCAGTACAAAGGAAAGAGCAAGGGAAAAGGACCACCACAATGGCAAAGTACAACAATGAACAAAGGCAAAGGAAAAGGAACATGTTACAAATGTGGTCAACAGGGCCACTATGCAAGGGACTGCAGAGTGGCAGTCTACAACGTCACAGACATGGATGGAGGTGCAGACCGGTACAACCAACAACAGTCATACTATCAACAACCATGGACAGAGCAAGAACAGTGGCACTACGAGGAACAATGGTTCCCAGATCAGCAGCGGCATACAACCAGGAACAACAGCCACCACAGATGCCTACAGCACCAGCGCAGGCAGTTTCCACAGTAGAATTTGGAACAACTACAATTGCCTCAGTCACAACCACAGGCCTCAACACCTACAGGACTGTCGAGCTCATGATCGACAGTGGTGCAGCAGTACATGTCTGTCCACCAACCTTTGGTACAGACTTTCCACTGATGCCTCTTACAGAGGAACAAACACCACCACTTCGCTCAGTTACAGATGAGCCCCTTTGGGTTCTTGGCTACAGATGGGTGCGCTTCAAGAACATACAAGGACAACACTTGGTGATGCCATTCTACGTCATAGATGGCATACGACACCCCATCGTCAGTGTTACAAGACTCCTGGAACAAGGTTTCGAACTCAACCTCGGAGGTACAGAGTCTACACTACAGAAAGGAGATGTGTTTCAGGCACCACTTACAAGTAAAGACAGACTACTCTACATCCACCTGGAAACAGCACCAATGGAAGAAGGAACAAAACTGGTGATACAAAACACTCCACAAGGACAAGTGGCAATGATTGCCCCAACACACACACTTACAGCAACAGGACCACGACCTCAGCAAGGAGGCAACAACGACTTTTGGAAGTACAACGAACAAGGATACCTGGTCAGAGTACACAAGAGAGGAAGAAAGGCATTGTTCACACCAGGATACGGCAACCAATCAGCATGTCCAGTACAATTTGACAGACTGGACGACTACAGGAAAACGATTGTCTACAAGGAAAACGGTACACATGCAGTGCTTGAAGACAAGTTCAAGTCACTCACCAAACAGGAAGCAAACAGAGAGGTTACAGGTACACAATGGCAAGGAGAAACATGGTTCAGGATTCTTCCTGACAAGACAACAACAGGCCAACAGAAACAGGATACAGACAAGGAACGACAAGTTCAGAAACGAATGGCTGAAGGAAAGGAAGTGAAGTACAGACACACGTACAAACAGCAAGAGAAAGAAGATACACCACCAATACCAATGAAGATGGATGGTACAACAGACTACTGGGTCAAAGAAGGAAGGTTCTGGAAGAGAGTACACGTGAGACCAAGGACAGAGTTCTACACACCGACACCTGAAGACAATGGACCAGATGTCTACAAACTGCTCCCATACAGAGCAACACACATACGAGAGGAGCACAACATGAGAAGAATCGAAGACGATTGGACTACAGAACCACAACCAACAAGACAACAAGAATGGACAGGATCTACAACCTGTGAAGAAAGAAGAGAATACAGAGAAGAAATGCCAACAGAAGAAGAAGATGAACAACAGAGCGCAAACAGAGCGAAAGCAATGATGCAACCGGTACAACCTACACCGCAGGAGATACAACAGCACAATCTCACACACATGCCATACAGGAGTTGGTGTCCTGTGTGCATACAATCTCGTGTTAGACAGACAAGCCACCAACAGCAAACATCGAGACAGCCAATCATACAAGTTGATTTCACCTACATCAAGACCTACGAAGACAAATGGCCGGTACCAATTCTGACAGCCATAGACATACAGATCGGCATGGCAATGGCAACAATGCTTACAGACAAGAAAGGACAGTTTGCCTATGCACAGGCATGCCTACAAGCATTCATTCTTGAATGCGGAAGAGCCGAAGGCATACTACAAAGCGACCAAGAAGAATATCTGATGGCGCTCCTTAGAGCTACAGCCAAAGCAACAGGCAACATGACAGTGCGCTTTGCACAAGCATACAGCTCACAAAGCAGCGGCAGCATCGAAAGATTCCACCGTACACTTGCTGGCCTCATCAGGACAGTCACAACACAGGTACAGCAGAACTAGAACACAAGACTGCCGACAACACACCCAATCATGGCTTGGGCAGTACGACACTCAGCATACCTGATCAACAGATTCCTCATCAGAGCAGATGGCTACACCAGCTACCACAAAAGATGGGGACGAACACACAATGCAGCTCTCTGTGAATTTGGAGAGACTGTGATGTATATGGTACAGTCGATCAAACAACGACCAAAACTTGAACCCAGGTTCTACAAAGGCATTTGGCTCGGCAAATGTACATCCACTGGAGAGTCCTTCATTGGCATTGCAGGCAGAATTGTACGCTCACGTACAATCAGACGACTAGCAGGTACAAACAGGTACGATGCTCAATTGATGGACACAATCACTGGCACACCATGGAATCCTACACCACCAATTGGATTCCAGCCAGCTTTCATACTACCACCAACACCAGCATCAACAGAGCAACAAGTCCAGGCAGGGCAAACACCACACGAAGAAACGAGTACAGGCAATCAACCAACAACAGCAGCAAAGCATGCTACCAACACAAAGGAAGCAGAAACAGAAGCAAAGAAAGCAAGAACAGAGACAACAAAGAAACAAAGAGTCGAAGAACAACAGCAAAGCACAGCTTCAGCATCAACGTCAACACACTCTACAGCAATGAGGTTGGGAACACCACCAATGCCAACAGGTTCACCAACCAGACCAGTGGACGACCAAGTACATGAAGGAAGTACAAGCAAGAGCAGAAAGCAAAGTACAACACAGGAAGCACCAGTGAGACCAGAAGAGACAAAGGAAAGAGACAGTACAAGACCAAGATTGAGAATCAATGCATCAATGCAGTTACAGTTGCATTGAAGAGTGGCAAGAAGATTACAACAGCAACAAGTGAAGACCCACAGGAGGTACGAGCAGAACAGAGGCTACTCGAGCCTCACATCTACAACAACGAAGGATTCGATACAGAGAAGTTGAAGCAAGGAATGCAAAAAGATATGGAATCCATGAGAACACAATACGAGGAGGTAGATGTTACAAGGCTTACACCTCAACAAAGACAAGCACTTGATCTCGACAACATCATCGAGTCAAGATGGGTCTACAGATCCAAAGGAGATGAAGTACGAGCAAGGATCGTAGCAAAAGGGTACACAGAACACATCGAAGACCAAGATGATGTGTACGCAAGTACACGACTCTTTGCAGTGCTAAGGATACTCCTAGCACTCAGCATGGCCAGAGGATGGATTGTACAGGTAGGTGACATATCTACCGCCTTCTTACACGCATTGGCAGCAAAAGCAGGCTTGGTACTCAGACCACCAAAGGAGTACTACACCAATCCAAACATCCTCTGGAGGCTACACTAAGCAATGTACGGCCTACGAAGCAGTACGAAGCAGCCCGAAAGATGGCAGGAGCACTTAGCAAAAGTGCTTACAGACCTCGGCCTAAAAAGGCTACAATCAGAGCCCAATGTCTACACCAATGGCAAAGTCTACATCATGGTCTACGTTGACGACCTTCTCTTTACAGGAGAACCTGATGAGGTCGCTCGAATTTTCAAACAGATACAGGCCAAGATGTTGCTTCGCCATACAGGCACTTGCACAACGAACAACACAATTGACTTCCTTGGCAGGAAGATTACAAACAAAGGAGACTACTTTGAAGTCTCTTTGGGAAACAGCTACATCGACAACATCCTCCAAGAAGCAAACCTACAAAGTGCAACAGCAGCCGTCACTACAGGTTCCAACAGCACTACACCTACAACAGAACAGGAGGAACTCCTTGACACAGAAGAGCACGCCCACCACAGGCGTATGGTCGGAAAGCTGCAATGGCTTTCATACACGCGACCAGACATGAGCTTTGCAGTAAAAGAACTAGCGCGTTCTTTACAACAACCAACAGTCCGCGACAGACAGCGGCTACGACATTGCCTCAGGTACCTGGCAGGTACAAAGCACCACAAGTTCGTGATACAACCAACGGTGTTTCTACAGCCCAACAACAAGGAACAGCTCGACCTGACAGTCTACACAGATGCAGACTGGGCAGGATGCCAGGTTACACGCAAAAGTACATCTGGCTTCGTGATCCAATTCCTTGGGACTACAGTCCACTTTGGTTCACGTACACAATCCGTAGTAGCACTTTCTTCAGCGGAAAGCGAGTTCTACGCGATTGGTACAGGTGCTACAGAGGCATTGCACCTCAAGAACTTCTTGGGAGAGATCCTACACAACAAGATCAGCCTCAAAATACACACTGACAGCACATCAGGCAAAAGCACGGCAACACGCATTGGCGTGTCCAAGCGAGCCAAACACATCGAGCTCAAATACATGTTCATACAACACCTCATTCACGATGGCATCCTTTCCATACACAAAATCAACACCAAACACAATCCGTCAGACATACTTACAAAATATGTGCAACGAGAAGTGCTTCAATGGCACTTACATGCTGCGGGCATACGTCCGCCAGACAACTGAGGAGAAGCCAGCTACAGCAGTTTCACACACCAGCATACGAACACAACAAGTGTACACGTATCTGCAGCCTACTTGATTGAGTATATCATGTACACGTATGTCTACCTTAAGGGTTACATGGTCATTGTGATACAGTTTGGCACGTACATGATCACTTCATCTTTCACTACATCATTCACCCCAAGGGTTACATGATGGTTTTCATTTCAGTTCTTTTTGCAGTACAAGTTTTGCGGCGATACACTTTGCTGTCCGCGCTGTCCAATTTTTAGGTACAAACCCCCGCTGTCGAAAGTACAGAAAGGTTAATACAACCTGTGCCATGGAGCTACAACCGTGGCTATGTGTGGAACCAGTACATTCCTTTGGATGTACAACATGTTCTGGGCAGACCAGCGGCAGATCCGGTACATGCGGCTTTGACCATGGCATTACATCATGCAGGCACGGCATTGTCCAGATTTTTGCCAGCTGATGTACGGCATGGATTGCTGCAGTACACAGCTCAGTTCACCATACACGTGAAAGAAAATTTCGATGAGAATGAAAATCTTGGCTCACAGGATACACGGGACAAGCTACAGGCCAAGATTTCAGGATCTACAGCTCCAGCTACACTGCCAGGAGCTACACCCGAGACCGCCTTGGGCACATCCTGATCTACAACGGTGACGAGCTCTACAAGGCTGAATTTGTGAAGTACATGGTTGGATACTGTTACAGTTCTTTTACAACGGTGTCTGACTACATGCGAGTAACTCTGCATGGATACATCCATCTGACACAATTCTGGCTACAAGATGTCTGTACATCAACGCGGCACTACGTTTTCTTTGATCGGTGTACAGGATTTTCGAAGGCAAGGTTTTGTACAGATGACTGATGTCATACATGATTTAATACAGTTCAGTTATACAATGATTCTTTCAATGTTTGTGAAGTACATGTTGCAGTTGAGGCAGGGTGTTAAGAATACACATGCACATGTACATGAGCCATACAGTTGCTGATACAACATGTTAGTCTACTCTGAGTACATGTCATGGTACGATACATTTGGGCTCCATACAGGGCCCTTGAGTTAGCCTTGAGCTAGCGTTACTCAGAGCGCTGCAGTGAAAAGTACAGCGCGTGGGCTACAGCTGCTGAGAGTACAGACAGGGAAGTTGTACACTTGATTTCAACAATTATCATCATCAGCAGCAGCAGCATCATCAGCATCATCAGCATCATCAGCATCATGAGCATCATCATCATCAGCATCCTCCTCCTCCTCATCATCATCATCATTATCATCAGCTTCCTCACCACCATCATCATCATCATCATCATCATCATCATCATCATCATCATCATCATTCACCATCGTCACTTACATGTGTGTATATATATATATATTCACCACCCCACACCACCCCACCCCACCGGTAAGTGATCATGAAAGAGCAGTGCCTGCGTCTGCAGGACAGCAGGAAAGATGATGAGGTTGCTGTGCCTGTGTTTGCACAGGAACATGAACATTATTCCCCCGCCCCACCCCACCCCACCGGTAACTGATCATGAAAGAGCAGTGCCTGTGTCTGCAGGACAGCAAGAAAGATGATGAGGTTGCTGTGCCTGTGTGTGCACAGGAACATGAACATTATTCCCCCACCCCCCCACCCCACCCCACCGGTAACTGATCTGTGTCTGATGGACAGCAAGAAAGATGATGAGGTTGCTATGCCTGTGGGTGCACAGGAACATGAACGTTATTACCCCACCCCACCCCACCCCACCCCACTGCACCCCACCCCAACCCCCCGGTAACTGATCATGAAAGAGCAGTGCCTGTGTCTGCTGGACAGCAAGGAAGATGATAAGGTTGCTGTGCCTGTGTGTGCACAGGAACATGAACGTTATTCCCCCGCCCCACCCCACTCCACCTCACCGGTAACTGATCATGAATGAGCAGTGCCTGTGTCTGCTGGACAGCAAGAAAGATGATGAGGTTGCTGTGCCTGTGCACACGTCATCATCATCATTCACCATCGTCACTTACATGTGTATATATATATATACATATTCACCACCCCACACCACCCCACCCCACCGGTAAGTGATCATGAAAGAGCAGTGCCTGCGTCTGCAGGACAGCAGGAAAGATGATGAGGTTGCTGTGCCTGTGTTTGCACAGGAACATGAACATTATTCCCCCGCCCCACCCCACCCCACCGGTAACTGATCATGAAAGAGCAGTGCCTGTGTCTGCAGGACAGCAAGAAAGATGATGAGGTTGCTGAGCCTGTGTGTGCACAGGAACATGAACGTTATTGTCCCACCCCACCCCACCCCACCGGTAACTGATCTGTGTCTGATGGACAGCAAGAAAGATGATGAGGTTGCTGTGCCTGCGTGTGCACAGGAACATGAACGTTATTACCCCACCCCACCCCACCGGAACATGAATGGGAGATGATCAGGGCAGGCGTGGCACTTTTTGACATCGACCTTCATGTTGTGTGGCAGGCGTGGCACTTTTTGACATCGACCTTCATGTTGCGTGGCAGGCGTGGCACTTTTGGACATCGACCTTCATGTTGCGTGGCTGGCAAGGCACTTGGTAACATCGCTGTAACGACTAGATTTCTCATAGGAGGTCTTTTTTTGGTCCTGTTCTCGCTTTGGAACGTGCCAGGCTTCCAAAGTATTGCGCCTGTCAGTAAATCTCATGTCTGTGTGGTCGGCCTTGTTTTGATATGTTTTGATGATATGTATCATATTGTGTTCCAAAGTGATGCAAAAATGTCTGGGTTCCAAAGTGATGCATCAGACTGTGTTCCAAAGTGATCCTGCTACCCAAAAATGTTGTCCTTTTGTTTTGCGCGGTCAGCAATGTTTCCTGCTCTGTCAACGGCTTTGCAGATGACGGCCATCGAGCAGGTTCGGGACTATTACGAGCTGCCAATGGAACTATGGAGGTCATTCACACCGGTGCTGGAGACCCTGGAAGCGACCTGAAACTTGTGGCCGTGTTGCCCAACACAGGCATTGCGGCCTCACTGGAAAGGGCAGTACTGCCTTCTGGGGAGCCGTTGACAGCGGTACAGGCCTCCCATTGTGAGACTCGTATACAACTTGGCGCGGAGGATCATCTACACGAAGGGTGGTGGGGATTGGGACAAATGGCAGGACCAATCACCTTTCGTGGATCAACGACAAGCACAAGGTGGCGAAGGTACCAATGCACTGCAGGTGAAGGTCGACACCGGGGAGCGCAAGCTGAAAAATGACCCAGGTGATAGACCAATCGGACGATGGGGAATTTGTGGTGCAATCGGAAGAAGTCCGTGCAAAATGGTACCAGCAATACTTGCAGACCACGGGAGGATGGCCACCAGATGAAGAGGATCCGACTTTGGAACAAGTGAGCACCCTGGACAAGCGCATCAACACGCAGGACATCTCACCGTTTGTGGATTTTGGGGTTTGGGTTCCGTTCGGGTCCAAGGCAATGAGGGCAAGCAGGCTCAGGGCCTATGTATTGACCTCCAACGGGTACGCCACGAAGGAGCTGCCTGGGCCTGCAACTTTCGTGCAATGGAGGGCATCTTACAGAATACTTCGCACTGCATTAATGGTGATGTTGGACGCAGTGTCGCTTGCATCGCTCCATGCCTACGAGATGACAATCGAGAGGCTCATGCACACGGACTTATCCAACGGCATGGCATGTGATTTACTCGGCGGACGAGTTGGCAAGGTCATCACATTCAAATCGGCTAAGATCAAGGCTGGTGATGGATGCCAAAGACGGGAAGCAGGTGCCGATGGCTTGGGATGCAAACCTACATTTTCCACATGGCGGCGACGGACGACAGTTTTTGGCATCAGCAACCAGCCCTGGCATGGATTGCAGCGGGAAGCCATGGGAAACCAAGGACTCCAGGGGAACAATTGGCGGCTGGATTCATGCTGGGTGGAGTTCAATCAATAACTCCGCAGGTGGAAGGCGCTGGCACGAACAACATCGATCCAAGATTCACAGGGACAAGAAGGACGAAACGAAGGAATGGAGGGAAACGACAAAGAGATGGAGGTGGCGATGGAGGCGAACCACAAAAGAAAGGTGGTGCAAACGAAAATCGAAAGGGCAATGGGAAAGGGCCGTCAAAGCAGCTCTACTACGGATGGAACAACGGAAATGGCCCTTGTGCTTGTTTGCCGCCTGGTCACCTACGAGACGGTGGAAGGTGAGGAAGAAGAGAAAAAGGAAGAAGATGAAGAGGACCCGGAAGAGGAAAAGGATCCGTTGCGGTCAAGCACGTTGGAAGAGTTCTATGGCAAGAGGGTATTCACATTCATACATCATTTTGCTGGTAATAGGGACCCCCTGTCCAAAGCCTTGATATTGGAAGCAATCAGACAGGGCATCAAATTCAAGGTTATCAGTTATCAGTGTGGAGAAGTTGAAGGGTATACTTGGGAGGCACGGAGCCACATACAAGTCATTTGAGGTGGGCTCGAAGGGGCTACGTGGACGGTTATCATGCCGGGTTTCCTTGCACCATGTTTTCAACCGTATGGGCGGAGGAGACAGCACCGATCGGGAACAAGCTCAATGTTATGAAGGGACGGTATTTGCGTGCAGAGCCATCGACATGGCGAAGGCAGTTGCAGAGCGTCGGCAAGTGCACAAGATACTGCCGGTGTCTACGTTGGAGAATCCACCTCCCAGTGATTGCCTGCAACATATCTCGGCCTGGGAACTTCCGGAAATGGACAAGTTCATTCAACAATTTCAGGTATTACGCCCGTTTCAACACTTGCAGGTATGAGACGGGGATAGAGGTGGGCAAACGACACTTCAAACCTCAACAGTTTGCAGGTTCGCTGGTTTGCCGGAACTCGAAGGCCTGTGAGTGCGGCAAGCATGCTAAGCACGAGCCGACCGTGGGTCCGGCGAAGTCGAAGGCCTCAGCGGAATACCCTGAAGAGTTGTGCAGGGAACAATTACGCCATCCTGGCCATCTCACAGTTAAAGTTAAAGCTGATGGGAAAAGAAGAGTTCCTTCAGTCGAGGATGGCATGCCTCCAGGACACTATCGCCCAGGCGAAGGCGGGAGTTGTGGAAAAGGAAGGACACATTGAGCAAACACATTCCACGACCACCGAGTCCTCCGAGGAGAAGACCACGTACCACGTACAGTACACCACTAAGGAGGCCCACCAATCCCAGGCGAACACAGGCCAGGGAAACCTCAGTGTCATCTTCGCCAAGGCCGGGACTTTCAAATAGAGTGGACAAGGAGATCGAGTTCGTAGAAAACACGAAGCCCAGATCCTCCAAAAGACCTCTTTTAGAGGATCAGACCCTTAATGCAGACTTTTGGAAGAAAAGAAAAGACCTTAAAAAAGTGAAAAAAAAACCCTTAAAAAAGTGAACAAAAATACCTTTAAAATGTGAAAAAAAGGAATTTAAAAAAAATGAGAAAGTACAAATATGACAAACACATTGCCCAGATAGAAAAAATAATAGGTTTATATAAACCGCCCTTCCTCCCACTGAAGCATTTGTGTGAAAAAATATAGCCTCCCTTCCTCCCACTGTACATATTAATTTGTTGAGAAAAATGTTCCATCCTTCCTTCCTTCTAATTGTGAAGTAAAATTTACAAACTGTGTAGAAAAATCTTCCATCCATCCTGCCTTCCAATTGTTTAACTTTTGTAACAAAAATCAGCTACATGCAGTACTTATGCACACAAATGCGCCAAGCAGCTAGCACAGCAGTAGCAGGGCAGTAGCAGCAGTAGCACAGCACAGCAGCACAGCAGTCATTTTTTCACAGGAAAGGCAGATCGAAGTCACAAGCAAATCTCTGCAAGCACCTGGAAGAAACAGCCCATGCAGTCTCTTGTCCACCTTTAGATCTTGCCATTCTTGCTAAAGTGCCTCCACATTCTTCATCTCTGTAAAGCCAATGCTGGCTGGGGCAGTCAGAGCCCAGAGACAACTCAGCAAACAAATGGAACTTTGGTTTCAAATGCCATGTGAATGGTTCACTCATATCTTCCAAGCTCTTGTATTGCAGCAAAAAAGCATTGACTGCTCTCTGCAAGCGCAATGGTTCAAAGTCTTTCTTGTTCAATCCAACATGGTGAGCTTCTTGCAAGTAATGCATCGCATACTTCACACCATTTTCAAAAGGATTGCTTTCATCCAAGAGCTCATCAGCCAAGATCTTGCCAAATGGCACCAAGTGTCTGGTTTCAGCACCTCTGGTTCGCAACTTGGGGCTGATAGTGTTGTTCTTCCTGATCATAGTCATGGTCAATGTGCTGATCTGGTCTGTAATGTTGAAATCGATGTAATATTTTTTGATCTTCAAGAGGAGTTGCTGCAATTGCTCATCTTTTGTATTTCCCAAATACTTCGGAACATAGTTGAAGAGATTGCCCAAAGTGTCGCAGCTCACACCCATGTCAACAATGTGGAGCCAATCCAGCTTGAAAGTGTCAGTTGTAATAAAGGGCACCTGAAGTCTTGTCCAACTTCCATTGCTTCACCAATTCTTTCTTTCTGGGGTCATTCCTCTGCATGCTTTCGTACTGATTCTGAAGGTCCATAGCTTCCCAACCAAGTCTTGAACATGGCCATGTCAGTTCGGCTGACATCTGAAGTCGATTCAGTGGCCTGAGAAGGGGCAGGTGACTGAGGCTCACTCTTGACCTTGGCCTTGGCTTTGGAAGCCAGTGCTTTGGCCTTTGGCTCAGCCTGGGCTTTGGCCTTGGCTTTGGAAGCCACTGCTTTGGTCTTTGGCTTGCCCTTGGCTTTGGACACCTTGGTGCCTTTCATGGGAGTAGTGATCCTCTTCAAGCCCATGTCTACTAAGAACAGCAGCAAAACTAACTACCTTTGATCCACTGAAATGTTCCACTGACAGAATGCCATTTCAAGATCTCAGAATGTGAATCCACACACTGTGATTTACAGAGAACTCTGCTGTGGGAAGATTGGCAAGGATTTCTGATAAGGTAAGGATGGAGGGACCTTGATTTTGACTGGGAAGGATGGAGGTTTTTTTTTAATGGGAAGGATGGAGGGCTTTTTTTTTGCATATCCATTATACATATATATATATATACGAATAAATAAATATTAGTTAGAATTAAAAATGGCAATAATAATAATCAGCATCAGAATAAAGATAAAAATAAAAACATAATCACCATAATAACGATAAAATAAATAAATAATAATAATGACACTAAAACATAATAAAAATAACAATAAGAATAACGATAATAAAGATAATAACGCTAAAAACAAATGACAATGATAAACAAATATTTTGTAAGTATCAGTATCTAAAAAAAAACCATTGTCATCTAGACATCCATTCACATACTCATCCATCCATGACATTCATCTATTCATAATAAAAAAACAATGCATCCATGATATCCATGGAACCATCCATTCGTCCATCCATGACATCCACTCACTCTTTCATAAAACCATCACATCCTTTCATCCATGCACTCATGCATCCCCTGGCTGCACACTGACAGGACCTGGCCACAAAATCACTGGACCCTGACTGAACTCATGGATAACCCTCACATACATGCCAAGGAACAATGAATATATTTAAGTAAAATATAGTTCTGTTGCATGCTCATGATTTCATATGTTCTGTTTGCAAGACATGTAAACTGATGTGTACTCTGGAAATCTGTTCAAACTAAACAAATTTGACTGATAATATCTGGTACTCGTAACAACTGGTAACAACTCTGGATAATAACAGGGTAACAACTGGTAACAACTCATTGGTTTTTACAGGATAACAGCTGATAACAACTTTGTTAACAAGTATGGTAACAACTGGTAACAACTGGTCAGTCCTGGTAACAATAAAAAAATGATTTGAAACCGTCTCATCACAATTTATTATCCAAGAATGTTAGTAACTAGTAGTCCATCCATCTATCCATCTATCCATCTATCCATCTATCCATCCACAGCTGAAATCCAGTGCACACAACCATCCCCTAGTAGCTGAAACCCCTTGCACTCCTCAAACTCTTGCACTGTTGAAACTCTAGCACAGCTGAAACTCTGGCACTGCTGAAACTCTTGCACTGCTGAAAACCCTTGCGCTGCTGAAAACCCTTGCGCTGCACTGCTTCCAGACTATATGTTCTAGAATAGATATTCTAGAATATATATATATATATATAAAATAAATCAATAAATCAATAAAAAAATAAATAAATGAATAAAATAAATAAAATAAATAAAATACATGAAATATATAAATGAATAAACAAATGAATGAATACTCTCGTGAAATCCAACTTGTTGCAAAAAAAATATATTTTTTGCAATACGTTAGCTTTCGGGATGTTCCGTTGAACAGCGCTAACATAGCAGCTGAAATCTTGCATGTTCATGGGGTGATTTTGATACTAACCTAACACCTGCCGCGCCTCCATCAGCACAAATTCCCAAAAGTGTCAAGTTAGTGTTCGTGCTGTGTTTGGGACCATGGCGAATACTCCAAAGCTGGAAGCACCAAATGGAAGGTGCCATGTTTGACTGGCACAACTGTTTTTGCATGTCTTCCTGGGGCTCACTTACTGGACCCAAAAAAGCTTCAAAACGAACAGTTTTACATAATAGATTGAATAAGGAAAAAACTCCTGGTCGATGTTGCCAATCTGGCTCCTTGCTGCCATGATGATTATGATGTACTATTGGAGGTTTTGGGAACCCTGGGCAAATGCTATGTTAGCAATCCTGTTGCCAAAACTCTGGTTTGGATTGAAAATCATGACTGGCACAACTGTTTTTGCATGTCTTCCTGGGGCTCACCCTTACTGGACCCAAAAAAGCTTCAAAACGAACAGTTTTCATAATAGATTGAATAAGGAAAAACTCCTGGTCGATGTTGCCAATCTGGCTCCTTGCTGCCATGATGATTATGATGTACTATTGGAGGTTTTGGGAACCCTGGGCAAATGCTATGTTAGCAATCCTGTTGCCAAAACTCTGGTTTGGATTGAAAATCATGACTGGCACAACTGTTTTTGCATGTCTTCCTGGCTCACCCTTACTGGACCCAAAAAAGCTTCAAAACGAACAGTTTTACATAATAGATTGAATAAGGAAAAAACTCCTGGTCGATGTTGCCAATCTGGCTCCTTGCTGCCATGATGATTATGATGTACTATTGGAGGTTTTGGGAACCCTGGGCAAATGCTATGTTAGCAATCCTGTTGCCAAAACTCTGGTTTGGATTGAAAATCATGACTGGCACAACTGTTTTTGCATGTCTTCCTGGGGCTCACCCTTACTGGACCCAAAAAAGCTTCAAAACGAACAGTTTTACATAATAGATTGAATAAGGAAAAAACTCCTGGTCGATGTTGCCAATCTGGCTCCTTGCTGCCATGATGATTATGATGTACTATTGGAGGTTTTGGGAACCCTGGGCAAATGCTATGTTAGCAATCCTGTTGCCAAAACTCTGGTTTGGATTGAAAATCATGACTGGCACAACTGTTTTTGCATGTCTTCCTGGGGCTCACCCTTACTGGACCCAAAAAAGCTTCAAAACGAACAGTTTTACATAATAGATTGAATAAGGAAAAAACTCCTGGTCGATGTTGCCAATCTGGCTCCTTGCTGCCATGATGATTATGATGTACTATTGGAGGTTTTGGGAACCCTGGGCAAATGCTATGTTAGCAATTCTGTTGCCAAAACTCTGGTTTGGATTGAAAATCATGACTGGCACAACTGTTTTTGCATGTCTTCCTGGGGCTCACCCTTACTGGACCCAAAAAAGCTTCAAAACGAACAGTTTTACATAATAGATTGAATAAGGAAAAAACTCCTGGTCGATGTTGCCAATCTGGCTCCTTGCTGCCATGATGATTATGATGTACTATTGGAGGTTTTGGGAACCCTGGGCAAATGCTATGTTAGCAATCCTGTTGCCAAAACTCTGGTTTGGATTGAAAATCATGACTGGCACAACTGTTTTTGCATGTCTTCCTGGGGCTCACCCTTACTGGACCCAAAAAAGCTTCAAAACGAACAGTTTTACATAATAGATTGAATAGGGAAAAAACTCCTGGTCGATGTTGCCAATCTGGCTGCTTGCTGCCATGGTGATTATGATGTACTATTGGAGGTTTTGGGAACCCTGGGCAAATGCTATGTTAGCAATCCTGTTGCCAAAACTCCGGTTTGGATTGAAAATCATGACTGGCACAGGGGCTCACCCTT